CTCTCGCCAGAGTTGACAGCAATTGACACTATTGACAGCTGACAGCGTGTTCGGGTCGTTTGAAGCACGAAGAAAAGGTATGTACATACGTAGACTGGTACGTACACTTGTTTGTACACGAAGTAGTCAATAAAAAAAATACATCTTTGTCGTGCAGCATTGAGAGGTTCCCAACGAGCGAACAACAAGTGCGATTATTGAGGAACACGAAACTACGTTCCTCGAATGACAGAGGAAAGCGAAGTCTGTGAGATTCGATACGAAAGGAAGAAAGGAGGTAAAGGGTAGTATTTCGTTTTCGACGGATATAGTTGAAGGAAGAAAGAGAGGAATGATCCTCGAGCATGTAGCACGTGGATCTAATCTGTTTTAACGTACAAAGAATACAAAGCGAGCCAAGGTGATCAATGCGAGTGAATCGTACAATGTATGGAAGCTGACGGAAAGAGGGGAATTCAAAACATTCGGAGTTGCATGAGGATCCGTAGGGGAACCTGGTAAAATTATTTAGTTATATCAAGAGAGTCTAAGACCAGAGATCTGTTTGTAACCACGTTATGTCCGTGTCAATATAAATTCGCTCAAGCCAAAGATGCTTCTAACTTTCAGGAGAGCTCTCTCGAGGAAAGCAGAGTGACACCATGAATGTCCTCGCGCGCTGTCCCGGATTGTATTGCGGCAGGGAGCTGCTGTCGGATGGGAATTGGAGCGATTGCGGCGCTTGTCCGCGCGGCTTCCGCACCAACGCCTCGTCGGCGTGCGAGCCCTGCGAGGATGCGCCCATGTTCTACGACTGGCTCTACCTAGGCTTCATGGCCCTCCTGGCCCTGGTGTTGCACTGGTTCTGCATCGACATGGTTGCCATGCGTCGTAATATACCCAAGGAGGTGATCGCCCTTCACCTGTCTGCCTTGTTCGAGGTGGTCCTGGCATGCCTTATAGTCCTGCAGCTGACGGATCCCATCGGGACGTTCAACGTCAAGTCGTGCAAGGCGAACAAATTGTCGGACTGGTACACCCTGCTGCATAATCCGAATCCGAATTACGAAGCGACCTTACACTGCACGCAAGAGGCAGTTTATCCGTTGTTAGTATTAGATAAAAATATAAAGCTTTTATTTAAACCTCTAGAGTCTAGAGATTGTAATACATTTCACTTGGCATAGAAACACATTAGAATTTTTACACATTTAGTGAAACCTATTATTTCTGTAAATATTCTGTTGTTAGCGTCTATCAGAATGTGTCATATTGGTATCTTTAATTTACATTACTTTATGATTGTGCAGATACACCATGGTTTTCGTCTTCTACGCCTTAGGAATAGTCCTCATGCTATTGATAAGGCCACTAATAGCCAGGAAATTTTTGCCGAAACAGGGCAAGTTCTCTATTTACGCAGCGTTGTACTTCTATCCAATCCTCGCGTTGCTCCACGCCGTGGGAGGAGGTCTAATATGTATGTCGTAATATATACTCT